CAGGACAATGATGCCTTGTAACCTTTTCCTCTGAGTCCAGACACTTCATGAGAGCTCTGTTGTGCTTGTTGTGACAAAGAGTTAATTGGCCGTAAAACCCATGGCATCCTGTGGTTTATAGATAGTTTAGAGGGCTGAAATTCACTTCAGTACCTTTCACTGCATGTGTGCAATATAAATAAATTGATTTAAAGGAGACAGTGCTTCAGGGAAATTCACACTGAATATAGATGTGGTAAAAACAGTCTCCATAAACGGCTGTCAGCCATCTTTGTTAGTCTGACTGCACAGTTCATTAGTGCATACTTGGACTAGAAAAGATGGCTCCTATCAAGGGAAAAAGAGCTCTACAAAAATAAAAATAAAGAAGCTTTGGTGTGTTGAAACAAGCCAAAACCAGTAATCATAATTTCAGAAATTCCTACAGTGAAAAAAGTCAAACACTAGTGAATAGGATATTGCAGATGTGGAGTTAAAAGAGAAGAGATTTTATCATATTTATATAACATATTTCACTCAATACACAAACCAAATAAATCACATCAAGAAATCAGTGGCTGAAGTGGTTCAATAAAGTAATAGAAGTGGGTCACGTATATTATGTAATTATTATGCATAATATATACTTTATATATAAATGTGTATATATCAGATTTTCCTGTACTACAACAAAAGAATAATAAAGTGCAGTACATGAATGATCAGTAAAGTGTCTTAAGAATTACATTTTTTTAAGATGAAAGAGAAATATCAAATATACTAATAATATTTTTTACTAATTTATTCATATTTTACTAGACTATCTATCAAGAAATATATCAGCGGTGTTCCCCAGCATGAGGAAAGATACTGTTCTTTATTACATGGTAGTTACATAGAAAATAAAAACATATTATAAACACTTAAGTTATTTATACTAGAAACACTTAAGTTACGTATCTATGGCCTGGTGAAATTGTACATTTAGTAATAAAGGAAATGAGGGATATTATTAAAATGATCATAAAAAGCTCTAAAAAAGGTAGGTCATAGTTACAGTTCTTTGAACAAGCTACAGAAGTAATTGAGAAAACAGAGCACGTTATATGGTATATTTACATTTTCATAAATGAATTTTAGAAAGCAGTCAGCAGGTAGATTCCATTTAATATAGAGAACTGCAGTGTGTTACATGCAGATAACAAAATAGATTAATATATTCAACACAGATCTTGAGTAAGGTTTGAAGCATATTTAGATATTTTTGTTAACACATCATTTTCATCTTCTAGGCAAAGCAATAAAAAAAGGCAAATTACATTAGCATATACATTTTCTAAAGCGTTGATGAAGAAAACCCAGTGGACTTCTTTACAAATCAGGGGAGAAACTATGGAGAAGTCATTTTCAACTGAAAAAAGGGAGTCATTTTTACACAAAAGAACCTACGGGTACCTACAGTAGATCAGCCATCCCAGTTTTTTTGTCAAAGCTGATTCCCTGGTTTCTTTCAAGAGACAGCTGGACTCCAGAAAGGAGGGAGTTACTTTAGAATACTCTTGCCTCAGCATCAATATCAAATTTTGGAGGCCCAAGCATTGAGTTAATAGAACAGTTCAACTCTGGTACAATTCGTGTATGGTCTTTTGAGAAAGAATAGTTAAGCGAGTACTGTAAATGTACATTATTAAGCAAATTCTCCTTTGGCTCTGTAAAGCTGATAGTTAGCAAAGGGATATATTTTTGTTTTCATCCAGTTTAGGAAAGCCCACTATTATTGATGCATATTGTCCCCATAGATTGAATACTAGGTTCATTAAACAGTTTCATTCTTTTAAAGACAATTGCTCACACATTGTTGATAATAATCAGTGCAACTCTCCTATTATTTGCACAAACCTATCCAATTTTCTTGAATAATTTAAAACACACTTGTTTAAATTAATGAAATGTGGACAATATCTTATTATCAACTAAAATATTGCATGAGAGCATATATGTCAATTGATAGTACTGCATTGTGTAGAATGCTGTATTATTTACTGTTGCAGTTTTTATCATTACAGTGTGCTTTATGGAATGCAGTTTAGTGTGGTTATTTTATTGTTTTTATTGGTTTGTCTCTCCTGTAATGCAGTGCAGTTACTGCTATACTAACTTTGTGCAAGCAGAGATGCCTTTGGTTTTTCGTTCTGAATCTGTTCAGTGCTTTTGACATATATCCATACTGTAGTTACAAATCCCAAAGTATGTATTTTTTACAGAATATCCTGCCAGATGGCAGCAAAGAGCTTGTCGTGTTTCCCCTCAACCTCTTCTGCCAGTATGTTCAGCTCCTGATCTATGACCTTTATCTTCCTCTGTCTTTTCTGTTGGGCAGGTGTTACAGAGAGAGAGTCTGAAGTACAATAAATACCTGTTATAGTCACGGGCTAATTAAACGTTATTTGCTTTCAGGATTATTTTCTCTTGACCACAGAAATTTCATCATTCTTAGTACGTTGCTCATTATACCGTAGTAATTTATCAATGGTGCCTTTTTGAGAGTTAAAAATGCCAATTTATCTTAGTGAGTATATAGCAATGACAATTCAAGCTAAATTATTTAAATATAGATGATGGGAGGAGGGGTAGGAGAGAAGCAAGTTTGCAAATCTGTGTTTGAAACCACTCAAGTCACTTCTGCTTGGTAGGATGAACCCATTAAGCTTTGAACATATACCGCTGACCAATAAGTGTAGTTTAATAAACAATGCATTTTAGTTCATTATTAATAAAGCATTTATAAACTCTTAATATTGGAGCCTTATTCTAAAGTGCTACCAAATGCATAATACTGTATGAATGATACCAACAATTACCTACAGTATGTGCACAATTCACCACACTGTGCTGTCTGTGAATTAGATATTTGGCATGTTGATTATGCATATCGTAAGATGATTGTGTAGGATGAAAAATAATTACTTTGCAGTAATTCTTGTCTTTTACCAGTTTTGTCTTATTTTACCGTATTGCTGTTGATCCTTTTAATTGAATGAAATTTCACCATTACTCTTCCTTAATACAACTAATTCATAATGAACAAAATCACACCAAACTTCCTGAATTAATATGCTCTTCTTCACCTCAAGGCATGCATCTGTCTGATGCATCAATATATCTTCAATTCAGATGTATCCCATTTACAGTACTCTAGAAAACAGGAAGCTGTGATAATAGTCAGCCTGGAGCACCACAGAACTAAATTTAGAATCACAGGTTTTTTGGAAATACTTGCATATGGTAGCAGACATGCCTCAGAGAAGTCTACTGCAGATGTGCTACAGTAGCTTACAAACTTATACCAGTGAGAGTTTGTAGCAGCTTTTACTTTTGCTCGGGGGCTGCTTGTGACTGATTAAAAGTTACTTTTTAGCTGCTATGAACTTTAACCTCTAAATACCTAAAATAATAACCTGTTTTGACAAGAAAATAAATTGCACTTTTCTCATTACCCTCATATCATTCAAAGTCTAGGTACATATATATATATACTGTATATATTTTCCATTTTAAGTGGCAGTGCTTTTTCTTAAGAATGAGAAACTATAGTGGAAATGTTTGAAATGTTAAGAATCCCAGTAGAGAGTCCTTAATTGATATCTGGAAATAGTTATATAACAACTTTTTTGTATTAAGAAAAAAAGGAACAAAACAAGTAGGTTTAAACTGCCTATTTGTAAACTGTCTACAGTGTCCTACAAAATTGTTCACCCCATTCAAATGATGCCCCATTTTATTCCAAATAAAGAAAATATATTTCTGTCATTGATTTTTCATTTAAAGTTGAATTCAAATGTGAATGTCAATTGCATAAGTACAATAACTCAAAACATAAATTAGTTCATGTGCACAGAATTACTTTGACAAGTAATATGACACATTATATAACATTAATTAACATTAAATTAAAGTTTGGATGCAGATTAACAAAATAATTGCTTGAAAAGTATTGATCATTTTACAATTGTTCTTTCACTGGAAGATTAATGTGATTTCATAATGCCGCTGAGCATATATTTTCTGATTTTTCTGCTGACAACTACAGTCTGGAATAAAATAACTTTTTAAAAACATACTTTATACAGAGTGTTTTTATGAGGGTAGATAAGTGGTGTGGTACTAGAGCAGTAGATCAGATGAAAGATTAAAGCATTTTATTTCTTTGTTTCTCCCCTTTTTGCTTTTTGTTGATGTTCAGATGTGTTATCCTCCTTGATGAGTATGGTATTTTTAAATTGTTTTCCTTGAATTTGTACATTTTACTACAGGTTTATTATCAGTGCAGTGTGTTTAAGATTGCATCTCACTTTGAACTTTGGAAAAAAATTGTAGTTACATTGTTCACATTTTCTACAAAGCATCAAGATGGTTTTCATTTTAGTAATACCTTTGCCTGTTTTGAAATGATTTTCTACTACATATTGTTTTTCTTTATGATAACATTCATAATTCTGGTTTATATTATTGCTCAGGAAGAAAAACACCATATACAATGCTAAAATGATTTCCACAAATAAGGTTAGAGTGACTTCTGAAGAGAGACTTTTAAACATACCTGGAATTCAGGTACATTTATTGACATGCATAGCAATATTTGTTAAGCTATTACAGTGAACACATACATACCTGTATAATGTGTTCAACAAAATTAACTAAATCACTTGTGGAGCCAAAATAACTGATCACATTCATCTTTGTTGCAAGTTAAGGAGATATACAGTAATTCCACGTTGTTACTTGGTTCATAATTTAACATGGTGGATGTTAATTCAAGTAATATGGCTTTAGAGAAGATGTTGCTTTCTTTTACCTGTTTATTGTTTAGTTATAACAACATCAAGAACAATTATTTTCATTTCATAAAGACTAAAAGTCTGTTAAATAAAGAATAAAGGGAATGTTTTATAAACTGTAAATGTACAGCATACAGCAAAATTATAAAAAATGAAAACGTTAAAAATGTATTTCTGGATCAGTTTGCAGTCTTTCGACCATCTTGATCAAGATCAACGGTTATACAGTATATACCGTACAGTCCCTTCATGATTTGTGGCAAGGTTGGTATTCCTCTTGTTCTACCAAATATCTTGTGACAAAATACACTATGTTTTATGTTGATATTAGTTGGTATCAAATACCCTTTAATATATGGTTCAAGGCTTTGCATACAATAAAGCTTGGCTTGACGAACGGACACTTCAGGCTCGAATCTCTTGGTTTCTACATAGTGAAACCTGCATACGGTATGCATGTCATACAGTATGACTTTGTCATGTTACATGCTTTTGGTTCTGGTATAAAAAATGATGTATTTTCTAACCATCCATCTGTTATTAGAACATCCTTTCTGGAAAGACCTCAGTAATCCAGAACTTATCACAGAAACCTAGGGCACAAGGTGTATTATAACAAAAAATACAGTGGGATGCCAGTCAAAAATTGCAAGCTAACACATATACAGTAATTTAATTTTGTGTTGCTTACAAACTTTTGACCTACTGTATATAGTGTGTACAGGTAGGCACAATAAGCAATAGAGGTTAGCAAAATTTTGACATGTTGATCTTCAGTAGCAGCAAGCCCGAAAGTATAGATTTGTTTGCAAAAAAAAACTTAATTGAATGAGAGCTGAGGCACCAAGAGCCCTGTTTGAATTGTAAAACATCTGGCAGCCATTACACCATTAACCTGTACATTACTATCAGAATGACCTAATTGTTTATAGAATGGTTTATTGAGACATTTCTGTGCAAGCCTATAGGTCATCTGTGGGTTATTTACACACAGGAAAGTCAGACAACATGTTTATTCCCGAGTGAAATGGGAAAATATGTTCGTTGTTATGAACAAATTGCATATTCACATTATACACTTTATTAAATGCATCTTACGAGACCTCATTAGAAACATTAGGGAAACCAAAGAGTTTATTCAGCATCTGAAAAGTACAGTATAAATACAAAGTCAAATTTAATTTTAAATTTAATTGGAATTATTATTGTATCTAGTTAATAAATGTTATGTAAAAATTGTTAGGCTAATCCTTACTGTTGGTTGGAGATTTTCAAGACTGATTTTTTTTTTCTGTAGGAGATTGAATCAGTTCAGGATAAATTAAAGTGAGAGACAGCTTTCTGTTTGCAACCTTATGAACCTTCTTTCATTAAATACCAAATCAATTGGTACAACTAGCATTGAGGAATGTATGTTGCAGCGTCCAGACAAAAATGCAAACTCTGCAGCTCTGTACTGTTTATCCTTCTGATAAAATTGAATATTGGATCTTTAAGGATAAAGGTGTTTCAATAATGAACACTTTTGTTTTCTGTAAAGCCTTTGGACATGTAGAGTAGCTCTACATTCACTTACTGTAGATACACATTTGGAAAACATGGTACCTCTATGCATAATGTCCACTTTTGGGCATCGTCTGCTATCATTTTCTCATCTGTTCCCCCTCAAGCCTTTCTTAACCTCTTTTAATCTTTTGTCAGGTATTTTGAATTGAAGAGAGCAAAGCTTTGAATTGGCAGATTGCAGTTTGCAAAGATTTAAGAGACCAAGTGTGTCATTCAGTCATTCTATCACGATGGACTATAAGATGCCTGTAGTCAATTGTGATTTACATTATAATAGATCTGAAATATTGTGTGAGAAAGAAAAGTAAAATGTTAAGTGATTTAGACTGTATATTTTCAAACTGTTGAGGACTTCACGGGGTGTCATGATAACATTATTTAATGCTGCTATCTCACATACTGGGTTTGATTCTAGCCTTGGGAAACTATGTGGAGTTTGCAGGTTCTTCTTCATTTCACATTAGTTTTTTCTTGGTGTTTTGGCATTTTTTCACCTCTCAAAGGCATATTGGTTAGGTTTAATGGATTCTTCTGAATTTTCTAGATGTGGAACTGAGACAGACAAACATCCCATTCAGGGAGAGAAAAGTCACATGCTCTTAATCCAACCCTGTATCCTGTGTTGTCAAAATTGGCTCTTGTCTTGCTGTCCCATTAGTTTGCTGAATTCTCATTGTTATTGCTATTTTTTTTCCTCAAACTTAGAACCAACTTTTAAAGTATATTTTACAGTGTTGCTGTCACATTCTGTCAAATCTAGAATTACGCATGTAAGTGGGAAAAGAACGGACTTACAAAATCATGCTGACAGACCAAACAGATTGCTTAGATCATATTTTACAGGGGGAAAAAAAACATGACATCTGCAAATACACAGACCACAAATGAAAATTTTAAATATTTAGATTACCAGGCATGGCACACCTTTTCTAGTTTGTACTTTGCGTTGTGTTTTTTATTTTCATTTGAATCTCTCGGTCCGTAAATTAAAAATGGAGTGACACCGGATTTTGTGGGTTAAACATATTATTTTTTAAACAAAAGTCCACTGTCAATGGATGGCTATCCATTTAAAAAATCAGTTTCTGGCCAAATTAAGACAGAATCACCAGTTGTGAAGGTGCTGATTACCATCACTTATACAGAGCACTACTTACAGTAGTGAAACACCAGAGATAGTTCTTCACCCTACTGACATATCGGCCTCCAAATATAGAAATCCATATTATAAAGCTGTAAAACCCAATTTTATCAATAGGGATTTCTGCTGTACCAGCCCTGTTTCATACAAAACAGCAGGATCTGCAGAACAGAGACTTCCTTTACTCTGTGGTTCAATTGCATAATAAAAGATAATGCAAACACACAGCATACATTTAATTTGGTTCCTGCGGATGCTTGCAATAATGTTGAAAAGGTTTGTTACATAAATGGATATGATTTGATTACTCCGGGCATGTGGTTTTCTTCACTACAAATGTTTGAAGTGGAAAACTTCACTCTCCTTTACTGTCACTGCTGATGTTGTTTAAATAATTCCTTCTTTGAACTGGAAACCCTTCATCAGTGACCAAATAAAAAAAAACGCAACACTTTTTTGCTTTTGTTGTATTTAAACTAAACACCACATCACTAATATTCTGTCATTGAAACCTTACAGTACTTACAGTATACTGTATATACAGTACTTAGTATATACTGTACATATACTAGAAAGGAACAAGTAATAGGTTTATTCCATGCTAAAAAGAGAGAAAATATAACATTTTGGGTGTGAAGACTTCTTCAGGTGTTATGTTTATGTGATGAAGTTTGTTTTGAATTGCCCAAGCAAATTTCCAATTCTAATAAGTATTTGTTTCCCCTGCTAGGCAAATTTTGATTTTAATTAATTATATACTGTATAGAAAAAACTAGGACCTAGAACTGACTGTTCTTTCAAAGTGTGAGCAGGTTTTAATTTTAACTAACATTTCAAGGTATTAATGTATTGCTTATTTTAATGTCTGGAGTCAGGGAGAAAAAGAAAATGGTTGGAATATAGGAATAGTTAATCAAAGATGCATATTGATGGGGTAATTGACAGATGTCAAGGCTACATGGATGTTGTGGTAATGTTCCACTTTCCTCTGTCTCATGTGGTCACGGTTTTGTAGTACTGCCACCACAGGAGTCAGATAAATATTGCTCTTAATTTATTTTTATGTGTTATGACCAGCAGACTCAGTGGAGCATCACACCTGCTATAGAAACTAGGCCTTTTAATGAAATTGCAGAACCAATCTGTAGTGAACATTTGTGTGGTTGTATTTAATTGGAAAAGTTTTTTTTTCTTTTTACTCTCTACTCCAGGCTCACTGAGGACATGCCTCTAGCAGTTGGATATTTTCCCTCTGAAACAGCAATGCAAATCCCTAATTAAATTAAAAGTCCGTTATTGGCAATGCTGGTACTCATTAGATGTGTTTATGTGAGCTTACCGTTTTAACTTGGAATGAATTGCTTTGCTTATCTAAAATTAAGCTGACATACAACAGTGCCACTGTTCTGGGAAATAGTCTGTTTCCAGGAGCCAAGTTGTGTTGTTTTGTAACAGAGTTGACGGGTATGTCTTGACAAAATAGGTACACTGTAGCTCTGTTTAGGTGCTTTCTCATTTGGGAGAAAATGCTTTGTGCATTTCTGATTTTATTGCACCTTTCTTTGCAAAAGATACAGTACCATGTCTTTTTTTTTACACCAATGCAAGCCCCTATGTCAATGAAGCGAGTGTGGCATACTCTTACTCCGCTGTCACACGGTGAGTTTTAATGTTTGCCAAAAAGACAGCCCTTCATTTTTGAACAGATGGACATTGCTTCATCTGGAAAACAACGTTAGGAGCCAGAGATCAGTCTTAAGGTCAATGCAAGCTGAATCCACTCCATATTTATCTCCATGTGCTTTATTACCACATGTCAGTGTTCATTACAGCTAACTGTCATATTCAGCTAAAAGCCTGTAAAAATTGTGTTCCTTTGTGCTGATTTGAGACTTCAGATTTGAAATAATGCTTCGGAGTTTCAAAATAATCGCATCTTAACAAACACACATCAGACATTCACTGCACAGAAATATTATAAATGTTATTATATGTTGTTTCTAAGTGCTGTCAGTTAAATATTAAAGGACAGTGGTGTTGCTGCCTCACATCTCTTCCCTCCTAAGTTCGCAAGCTTGCAAGTTATCCCTACAGTATGCCTGCTTGAGTTTTCTCTAGGCTCCTTCCACATGCTTCCACATGCTGTCTAGGTTAGCTAGCATCGCTAAATAGTCCCCTTCATGCATGTCTGTGGTGTCATCCCACTTGTTCTCTGTGCCATTAGTTACATTTATGGCTCTAACTGTAAATCTCTAAGGTTAAAACGTTTACTAAAAATGAATGTTTGCTTGGAATAAATATTACATTATGGTGCACAATTTCGGTTTTATTACTCAGTCCACCCATCCATTTTCTAATCACATTATCCAATACAAGGTCACAGCAGTGGATGAGCCTGTCCCAGCAAGCAATGGGCACAAGGTGAGATAGACCTTGACAGAACGTGTTTCCATCAGAGTGTACATACAGACACAAACACACACTCAGACCAGGACCAGTTTTCCCAGATGCCAGTTAACCTATCAGATTGTCTTTGGACTATGAGAGGAAACCAGAG